GCTTAAAAAAATGTTATATATTCACCAAAATCCCCTCTTCAAATTCTAAACACACTTAAAATAATGATAGTAATGCCTAGCTTAAGTATTATCACTTAGAATACTCAAATTTTACTTATCTTGAAAAATTCATTTCTTTTTTATTCGCCAGTAAAAACTCAAGAACTTTCAGTGTGAAATTTGTTAATTGTTATATGGCTAAAAACATATCACAGTCAAACTTAACAAATATTCTCAACCTTTTGCTTTAATTCATAGTGATGTGTGGTAACTATGTAAAGTCAAAATTTTCCCTAAATTCAGAAAGGTTTATTTCCTTCATCACGATCATACTTGTCTCACTTGGGTCATCTTAATGAAAGAAAAATTCAAAACGAAACAAATTTTTGGCATTTCAACACTATCAATAACAACAATAACAAACCTTTATTTATCCCACTACGTGTGGTCGGCTATTTGAATCTTTTTCTCCATTGTGTCCTATTAAGAGTCAAATTCTCATTTAAATCTAATAAAGAAGCATCATTTCTAATATTGTCTAACCAAGTCTTTTTACGTCGACCTCTACCTTTCTTAACATAAGCTAAATCTAATACATCTGCTCTCCTAACCAAGTCATCGGAAGGCCGTCATTTTATGCGAACAAATCTAAAGCGACTCTCTAATGTTATCTACAATTGGAGCTACTCCAACCTTTTCACGTATATGCTCATTTCGTATCATGTCTCTAAGAGTAAAGCCACTCATCCACTTGAGCATCCTCATCTCTACAACAATTAACTTAATATTATGCTTCTCCTTTAATGCCATTTCAACACCATCATTAATACTAAATTTCAACCCAAAATTCAAGTCCTAAAAACTGATAATGCCAAAAAATTATTCAAATTGATCATAGAAAATTTTATCTTGGTTCAAAGGCTTATCCACCAAAAGCTCCTATGTTGACACTCTCTACCAAAGTGCATTTGTGAAAGAAAAAGTAAGCACCTCTTAAAGGTGGCTAGATTACTACAAGTCTCCATAAATATTTCTAAGTATCTTTGGGGAGATATTGAGCTAACATGTACAAATCGCATTAATAGAATGTTTTAAGAATAATTTGATTTCAAACCACTATTTAAAACTTTGCTATTCATTTCCAAAGAACAAAATTATTCTTTTTTTTTGTTCCTCCAAAAATCTTTGAGTAGCCTTGCTTATTTTCATCACCAAAGAAAATTATATTTATATTTATCAAGGGTATCTTTATTAGATGCTCACAAATAAAAAAATGGTACAAAATGTTTTTTCCTTGTCACAAAAATAAACTTACGATTTCATTGATGTAACAATCATTGAACATCAATTCTATTGCTCCAAACTCGAAATATAGAGAGAGGGAATTCAAGAACAAGAATTTCAAGTTTGAAACTTATTGATTATTCACCATCATCTCTAATCAAACCTATGGAGGATAAACATTTCTCATAGCCCCACATTCAACCTAGTGAAGCCTCATTTGAACTGCAAACTCCCTCATTACATCACCAATACATCCAAACCTTCTAAAGCCTCAGCAGAACTCAAACCTCCCAACACCTTATCAATAAATGCAACCTATGGAGATGAGGTTCATGTTTATACTAGGAGGGGAAAAAAACAATGAAAGATAGCAATCAATATATCCCCAACACACCCAAAAAACCCGAACCTAGTTAAATGGCTAATGAAGTACAACTTGATAAGAGTAAGCTCGTAACCTTGAGCAATGAGGTCATGCACAAAACATCCAACCTATCATTTCATGGCTTAGAAAAGATTTCACTTGTATTTGGTGTTGTTACTTGATATAATACAAATTTTAAATAATAATCATGAAGCTCTCAAAACCCTTAAGTAGAAGAAAGTTGTAATAAAAAATATTCAAGCCCTAAAAGAGAACGAATCATGGAAAATTTTTGAACTTTTGCCAAGAAAAAATGCTCATATGCAAAAGGATTTTTATAGCCAAATATAAATCTCAAACTCAACATGTTACAAATGGGTGTGTTCAAACATATAATACTAACTACAAAAAAGTTTCTTTCCCGTTGTCAAACTCAACACAATTAGAATTCACCATTTTAAGATAAATTTTGACTGGCCTGTACATCATATATTGACATTAAGAATGATTTTCTTAATGGGGGTCTTGAGGGGGAGTATACATGGAGATCCCATTGGATTGGAAATTCAAGGAAACATAAATAAAATGAAGACACAAAAAAACTCCATATGGCCTTAAGCAGTCTCCTTGTGCCAGGTTTAGCATATTCTACCATTATGCTAAAAGGTGCGGATAAATTCAATGTCAAGTTGAGTCCACTATCTTCATCAAGCGCTCATCTAAAGGAAAAAATAGGGCAATCCTAATCATGTTTGTATATATTATATTGACAAGTGATACCGAGGAAGAGTTAATGAAAATGAAAGAGGTATTTCATAAAAGAATGTGATAAAAAAACTTAAGAAATCCAAAATACTTTCTTGAAATGACAGAAGCACGATCAAAATAAGATACTTTAAATGGAAGTGGCACAATCAAAATAAGACATGTTATTTCACAAATGAAGTATACTCTTGATCTACTTCAAGAAAAATGAATGCTTGGATGTAAGCCCACAGAAAATCCGATGGACTCAACCAAAAAAAAGTGATCACTACTTACAACACACCGGTTAATAAAAGTAGGCATCAATGCCTTGTGGGCATACTCATCTACCAATAGATGAACAACCCTAGTAAAGACCACATTGAAGCTATTAATGGATTTACCACAAAAATTACACTAAAAGAGCCTATTATATTAAAGAAGGGGGAATTTACATACATAGCACTCAAAGCTTTCACAATTACATATTTAATCGAGATCCTTACATGCTTTCTTCATTGTTCACAACATTGATCCCATCAGGTGAGTTCATCCTGCCACCATACATGGATGAGAAACAACAGTTTAAGCAAGATTTGAGCAAGATCTAACCTAAATCCTTCCAAACAGCAAAACAACTTTAAATCCTATAGAATCTTACATCTAGTTTTTCCACCTTTTTGCCCTAAATCCTAGATTTAGTAAATCCTATCATTGGGTTGATTTAACTTAAATCTGCAAGTTTCATAAACTCCTCTCCTTCTTCACACATTCTTACTCTAGCCGATGGCTTCTCTAACGAGATCCAATGGTACCTCCCTTGCTAAATGCAAGATTCATTGCAACTATCTTACTTGCATTTGGTTCACTATAATGGTTAAGAGCTATATTATAAAAATAATGAAGTTTAAGCATTAAATATATAAATGAGAAAATTTTAAGTGCTTGCATGTAAATCCCCTTTAAAAAAAATAAATAAAACAAGTAAATCAAAATTTTCACATATCTTCATTGGGTTGGTGATGCATCAAACTGAAGAACTAACTCTATATATTATACTTATGGAAGGGGAAACCTTGTGACGTTGAGAAAGAATTTGTGGCCTCAAAAAGTAGTGTTGAAGTTGAATAAAACGCAAAGGCATTGGGTATTTAGAAATGAATGTGGTTTTAAATATTGCTAGAAAAACTAAGCTATCAAATGAAAAAAAAAAATCTCTAAAAAATGTATTTTGAAAACTAATCCATCATAAATATTAAGAAAAATATTGACCAGCTAGGAAAAGCTAAACACATAGAGAATAGCTTACATTTTATTTTTAAAAAATTGAAAATGGACAACCTCAACTAAATAATGTTCCAATAAACTCCCCAAAATACAAAAATCCATTGAGACTTTACCAAAAATCCACTGAGACTTTACCATAATGAGTTTTATTAAACTAATCAACAACTAAGGAATAACTAATATATGCAATCTATTTGGAGAGAAGTTGCAAAATAATCATGAATCTACTACTAGCACCTTTCCATCTACAATAACCCAGCAATACGAGGAAAACAACTTTCAATCTACAATAATCCAATAATTCGTGGATATTAGATCAGGTAATCCATGGACAACAATTTTTCATCTATAGCAATCCAATAATACATGGACAACAACTTTCCACCTACAAGAACCCAATAATCTTATCCTAGAAAAATTACTTCTTTTGATTGTTTAACTTATTTTTGACTTTTTTGTTTCACTTCTAAAAGCAACTAAGTGCTCTTCTAGTCTCTTACATAGAAAAATACAAATCAGCAACCAAAGAAAGGAAAAATATGGCCTAGAAAATGCATTGACAAATGAATCCATCACAAGTACACAATTTCTAGAGTTTAGCAGAGATATTAAAAAATTTAAAACTTTTATAAGCCATACATCACACCTTCCTCAAAATCACATAAGCATTAATTATATATAAAGCATCTGCTAACGTCTTGTAATCTTTATTTGGATATATTGAAGCAAGGATGTGCTATGAAATCTAATCAACATACCCCAGACAAGCATTTAAGAATATATTCAGTAATTTCCAATAGCAAATAGATTATTCATTAGTTGAGATACAATTCAGTTTTCCACGAAATCATTCAACACTGAACACAGTTTTCCTTTTACTCACAACTACTACAAATTCTTATCGCAATGCAACCAAATTATCGGGCATCAATGCAGTATCACATTAGGTAAATATTGATCAAAACAGATTCAACAAAGCTTCCATAACAAGTATAACTCTATCTGACATCAATCGTGAATTCTGAAGTAAGACCATGAAATTCCAAAATAGCTCCTCTGCAGCTTCCGCCACTCAAAATCGTTTCCCCAGCAAACTAACAGACTTGCTCCTCCACTGCTTCCCTCTCCCATCCTCGCCCCCAAAACCAGACAAAAATATTGTCTTCATACCTCTAAAGTTGCATTCAAACAAAATTGGAAATTGCTTCGAAAGTTTCCCTTCCCTTAATCACTACCGGGAATTGGATATCTAAGAATCAATACAACCAATGACCAAATAAAGAAAACAATATTTAAAAAAAAAAAATTCGATATCTCGAACCTGAACAAAGAATCAACGCGTCCACAAATATGTTCATGTTTCGCATAAAATTCTATATGCAGATAAACCTCAGATGGGTTTAACTGTTTAAGAAACCCTAACACAAAAACAACCATACCAAATCAAACCAAGCTATTGTAAACCCTACCGACAACGAACAAACTGCATCACAGAAAATCGACAAGAAAATATAAGAGAAAGACGAGAAGAAATAGCTGATGCGTACAGTCGATGCGATTGTGCTTTCCGCTGGCGCAAGCGAATAAACCTCAGGATAAAGCGTAGGGTTTCGATAGATAAATATCACGAATCAGCTATTTAGTTTGTAATTTTACGCATTTACCTTTCAGATCCCTTTATTATTCTCTTTAGTATCTTTGTCCTGGGCCTGGCCCACTCGTGATCCATTATCAGGTTCGGTAATAGGCCTTTATGTAATATGAATAAAGTAATATACCTATTATAAATCTATTAGGAGCATAATTCCCAACCATGCTTGCTTGATGTGGTTGAGGAGAGATTATTTGGTGTGGAGTGCGGACGGGGAGAACGGTCCACACAAGTACTGGGTACCTAGCGGTAAATGTACGAGTACGGGTACCGCTAGGTACCCAATGCTTGTGCGGATGGTACACACTCCGCACCTAATAATTTTTCGTGGTTGAGGGCTAATTTTCTCATGGTGAAAGCAATTACTTAGGATAATGAGAGAGCATGAAGTAAAAGAGCTTTAGAAAATTTTTAGTTGAAAGGGACCTAGTTTAGGCTTTGTTTTGGACAACTTTCTTATTGTTTTAGAAAGTAGCTCTCTAGTACAACAAATTTTTAAACCAAGCAATTGCTTCATAAAACAGTAAGTAAGAATACTATTCTAAATGAGGCCTTAAAATGTTAAAAGGTGGGGATATTTCTTCTATTAATGGAGAACTGGGAAAGAAGTGCTCACACTTTCAATTGAAGATCCAGTTTTGAGCTACAATGATTGCATCATAAAGTCTTTATTGAGATAATAATTTCATGTGGAATATAGATAGTTTGTATAAATATCATAAAATAAGAATTACATGGGCAAAAAATTATGAAAAGTTTCTTACAAAATATACTAAAAATAAGGTTTGGATGTTAATAAATTGGCATTGAAAAGTTATTTTTTTTAATGATATTATTACTCAGTCAAACGCATATGATTTTGATCTTTATATATATATATAATAAACATGATAATAATGATATTAATTGTATATTACATTCTATTTTGAAAATGAGAGATGAATAATTAAAATTAAAATATTTACATAAAAAATTTGTACAATGCCCTAAATCTTATTATATGATCTAAAAGAGTTTATCATAAATAGTTGATTATGAGTTATTTGTGAAGTATAATGCTTAATTAGCAATACTTGATGTAACCCTAGCATCTATATGTTGATTGATCATGTTTTTAACAACATAAAAGGCTAACTATACCAAAAGAATTTATAAGAAAAGTAACTAATGCAAAAAAAAATCAAGAAAGGAAGAGATTATACTATGAAACCTAATGGAGAAAATTGGGGGAAAGCTTTTATGTTCATCATTAAATATAACATAAAAATCTAATTTTGGTAATTTATAAATTGTTTCTAGCTTACTCAAATCTTTTAGTAGCTTTATTATATTTGATTGCTCTTATTATGTTCATCTTGCAATCAAGAATATTATATGCTTAATCAGTATATTTTTCTTTCTTATGCATACATTTTTATCTCAACATCATATTTTATTTTTGACATATGTGTATCGTGTACTATAAATATTTTTATAAGCTAATATTTATTGTCACGCACAAATGATTATCCCCATCAATATGTTACAAAACAATCACCACTAGAAAGTAAGATAGTCATTGGCAAGTGGTGTTGCAGCATGACATGACTCAAAGTCATCCTATAGTGAATGCCCTCAAGTTGTGTGGGAAGCGTATTTAAGGTTGAACAATTTAATAGAACATCATTTAGTAGGCTTAATCAAGCTATAATAATAAGGCCCAACTTGACACCTCGAGTTCTTTACTAACTAATCATAATTTTCATCTTAAGGGAAACATTTGGATACTTTACTCCATAACTCCTACCCAAAGTTCTTGGTCTTTCATCCTGTGGTGGATATTGACAATATCTTTATGAGTACGTAGTTGTTCTCAGTTATGCTCATCTACCTAGTCCAAAGCGACCTCCAACCACATTATTTCCATCTAGTGCATGTATCTATCTTTGCGAGTTTTCATCTACTTAGAATCAATCTCTAATGATAAAAATATGGGATTCGTATCTACTGGATCACCTGCTACATTATTTATCTATTATTTGGAATAAACCATTCAATAATTTTAGTTTACTTCTTGTCACTAGTCTCTACAATTATTGTTACCATTAGTATTTCCTTTGGGTGTAAAGTGACTAAAGCCACTACCCCAACAAAGAAATATTATAAGTTTGGCTCTATTTTACTTTCCTTCACGTCACTAGTCTCTATTTAGTGACGGGTTAGCGGGTTGATAGGTTGTTGAGGAGAGAAAGTACTTCACTCCAACAAAGAAAAAATAAGTTTTCATGGAATATATATTTTTTAATTATCGATCAAAAAGATTTCCAGCATAAATTTCCACCATAAATCTACCAAAAAAAATTCCAGTGGTTACGAGAAACTCATTTGGAGAGATAACTTACTACAATATTTTACATCATTTAAAATCAACAGACCATCTCCTAAGCTATCAAACATAATTAAACATATATTTAAAAAAATCAATAAAGCATTTATGATTAAAAAGAGATCTAAATCCTCTATTTTAAAGATTTGACATAGAAGATATTCTGACTCCACATAATTAACAGACCCTTATCATTCATATATATACATTGCAAGAAAAAGCATAACATATAGTACTATGTACAAAGTTTTCACAATAAATAGAGCCAAACTTCTACATAATTAAGAAAGATTAGTGATCAGAGAGATCACAAAGCTCATCTACTGGATGTGCAAAAATTTTTTGCCCAGGTGACAAAATTGCTTTGGGATCATATCTGCTTTTCATCTCAACAAATCTCCCCCATTTTTTACCAAAATGTTTCTTCCAGTCCTCCATACTTGTGTAATGAGGCAAGTATTGCTTATAGTTCAAGCCCTGTTGATCACAAAACTTCAATATCTCAGCATTCTGGTTCTCCAAATGCTCCAAATCATTCATCTCTGAGGATAGTAAGATTCCTATGGAATAGAACACCTCTTCATTTGGAATTGCTGTGGACATCCTTTCATCCCATCTATAAATCTTAAATAATTAGTTTATCAAACAAGAAACATGTTTATGCATTATATTTGGAGTATTAAACATTGAGTTATAGCCATATTTTTTATTATATTTAAATGTCAAAATAAGCCACACGTACGTTTTACAGTTGTGACTAAGATTTTGTTTGGGACAACTACCTTACTGTTTCTTAAAGCAGTTTCTTAGTACAAAAATTAAAAATTTTCTACTAGAAAGCTGCTTTAAGAAGTAGTGAGAAAGCCGTCCCAAACGTAGCCTAAGTTTTTATTTGGGATGACTTTCTTATCGCTTTTTAAAACACTCTAGTATAAAAAGTTTCTTGAACTATAATTTTTTTACTAAAAAGTTGTTTTATAAAACAATAAGAAAAACGTCCAAAACAAAGCCTAAGATAATTATTTTACCATTTTTGTGCTTGTGATTTTTTTTTTATATTAATTAAGATTGTTATCAATGTGATTGAAAATCTTAAATTATTTTATAAAAAAGTCCAACAAAAACTAATATTTTGTATTTTTTTTAAAACTATATTACTATAACTCTTAGCAATGAGTTATATGAAACACACATTATGAACATTGATAATTAGAGATCTCCTTTCCTTAATGTTAATTAAATAAAATTGTATCCAAGAAAATAATTTTGCCAACTAAAGTTCTCTAATTGCTATCAATGTGTATTTCTCTCTCTATATATAGAGATAGAGAGATAGAGAGAGAAAGAGAGAGAGAGAGAGAGAGAGAGAGAGAGAGAGAGAGATGGTAAACTAATGGTTTGATGAGTGAAACATAAGCATACTTTGATCTTTTTGTTGGATAAACAAGTATTGGACCCATGGATTTGCTGGTCTTCAATATTATTCCTTTGAGCGCTCCAATATAGAAATCCATTATATTAGACTTTGAAACAAGGAGATTGAGCCATGGATGTGGAACATCCCATAACCCCATAGCTCTTAGTTTCAGCTCGCCATCATGAACTCTATTCAGAAAACTCATGTAAGTGACATCATTTTTGAATGCAAATCCAGATACAAAGCTTAGTTTTCTAAGCAATTCTTCAATATCCTGAAAAACAAAAGGCTATGATCACTACATAGATTAAGTAAGCATTCAAAAATATAATATAATTTCAATTATGAAGTTTGTCAGAGTTATTAGAATTATTATATTAACATATTTGTTCAATATTTATTGCAATATTTTTTTTTAAATTATAATATATCATTATTATTGACATTATTTATAAATAACATATTTTTCTTAATTTATTACTATCTTTTTTTTCCTATATAAATATGTTATTCATTGATCATTATCATGTACTAATTATAAGACAAAACTTATTGTCTTACAAACTTCAGAAAATATCTTTTAATTCACTTTAGAATAATAAGAATATTGGGAGATAGTTTTTCTTATAGAAGTATGTAAATAAAAAAAATGGAAATTAAAATATAAAATTAAAGTACTATTATGATGAGAGAGAAAATTACAAATATAAATTCAAGAAATTCAAATTATGATAATTATAATCATAATTTCGAGTTATATATTTTAATTTATCATTTATTAATTCTAAAATAATTAAGAATAATATATATAGAGATAGAGAGAGAGAGAGAGTTTTAATTTATCGTTTATTAATTCTAAAATAATTAAGAATAATAAGAGAGGGTGAGAGAGATGATAAATAAAATTTGATTTTTTTTTATATTTTCATTATAGAGATTTATTTGATCTATTAATACTGGTTATCAAATAATATAGACCATTAATTTTAATTTTTTGTTTATTTTGATATTTTCTTTGCTTCTATATATATTTAATTATTATTTTTATTTTTTTATTTTGTTTTTTTTTCAAGATAATATAAATATAAATGCCTACTAAGTCATCTTCTTTTTTAATTTCAAATAAAATCATAAAATAATAATTAAAAAAAAAAAAATAAGCATATTATTTTTCTCCTAAATTTTTATTCTTTTAATTTGATCTTGATATAAAATATATACAAAATATAAAAATATTTTTTTTTAAATAAAGAAAACAATTAGTATACATAAATTTGAAAACTTTTAAATCGTAAAAAAATTACCTGATCCATTTGAGTTTTATCAGCTCTACTAAAGTTCCTTCCATGATGATAGTCATAGTAGAAGGAGGCTTCCAAGCAATATATGACTCCCTCATTACCATAAGCCAGCTTTTTAATCCTCTTCAGATCCTTTTCTGAGAAGAAGGGAGATCTCCAGTTGCTCTTTAAGCTGTGTTCCATAAGCAAAGATCCTTCCACATAGTTCAGTCTCCATCCTTCCCCTTCAGCTTTAATGGATATAAGCAGCTCTTGGTCCTTTGTGAACAGCTCGAAGTCTGTATACATCAGTCGCATCCATCTCACCTGTATCACAATCACATGTATTTAATTTGTTCATCACAGATGAAAAGTCTTCGGTTTGCAGCTTTTATGCATGCCGAAAAATTATTATCACTACAGGAAATTCACAAAACACCGGCAGCATTTTCGCGGTACGGTTGGACTCCAAGAAAAAGCGGTGGTTTGACCGCCGGTAATTGCTGGAGGTTTCCCTGCAGTCGACATGCTGGTAAATTCTGACGGTTTTTCTGCGGTTTACGTGCCAGTAATTTCCGACTGTGATAGCCGCTGGAACACCACCGAAAATTACAGTTGCTGGAAAAAGGACGTCGGCCTCGGTTTCGTATGTAGTTTATTCCTACAGGGTTTTAACAATCGAAAAACGGCTGGAAATTTTAATAATTGCAGGAAAATCGCCCGTTCCGTCAGAAAAATCCGCTGGTATTGGAAGATTTACATGTAGTGTATGTGCAGAGTCTGGATGCTGTTCGGAATACTCCAATCACGTAAAGATATGTGCATTTTTTCTCAACTTTGTACACATGTGTCCAAGAGAGAGAAAATACACGTGTTTTCATATGATTGGAATCCATATGAAAAGTTACGTCCGGACTCTGCAAGTAATAATCTCTCTATGCATGCCAGTAGGTACACAAAGCAGTGCCTTCGATGATAATTTGATTGTTTATATAATTAAATAAGTTTGATCAAAATTTTAAAAGATTATCATAGAAATAAATAAATTCGAATATGGCCTGCTTGTTTATTTTTAATCGTGAATAATCTTATTTGTTGTTTATATATTAATTCAGTAGCTTCTTAAGAATTTGATAAAATATCAATTCAATGAAAATTTGTTCTTTAATTTTTTATTGACAATTTTTTTTTAATCAAGCAGGCTAATTAATTAACCAGCATATATATCATTCATATAAAAATTTTCATAAATTACACAATATGAAATAATGATACACTGGCCTATGTTAAAATGATTATATTTATATAGATAAAAAATTTATATTAATTAACGTCGACTTAATTATTAAGTGGATAATTATCGAGTTAATTAAGTGCATAATTAACCACTGGAAGCAGTAAGCTAGCTCGTGACAACTTACGCTTTTGGGTGCGTTCTCTAAAGCAATCCTGGCCCTCGTAATGATCCCGAACTGTCCCAAACCTCCCAATACAGAGAAGAAGAGATCAGGATTGGCACTCTCCGAGCAGCTCACCATCTCCCCTTTACCTGCATAATTACCCTCCTTAATTACAACACTAAAATTTGTTTAAAAAAATCGTGACCACTCATGTCTTACAAGCTGTAGATTCCTGATCTAACGGTTGTAAGTGCATCATAGGTTCTTCGTAATTAACACACTTTAATCACGTCATTATCTTAATTAAGAAGCTCTAATACCTAACTAACAACTAATTATACTCTAACTAATAACCTAAAATCAATTAATAATCAACAAAGCAAATTAAATCTAACCTGTAACGATGTCCAATTCATGAACGTTGGAGATCTGCGGTCCATGCAAAAAAGCCTGCCCACTTATTCCACCATTAGACAAAGTTCCACCCAGTGTCAAGTAAAGATAATCAGTCCAAGTCTTTGGTGTCAAACCATATCTCAAAGTCTCTCTCAACACATCAATCCACATTCGCTCACCGCCGACATCTACGAACATGCCATCGGTCGATACGGTGATACTGCTGTCGAGGGATGGCATGTTGATGACGATGCCGGCGGAGGCTTGGGCTTGACCACGAGTCGAGTGGCCAAGGCCGCGGGCTGAGACGGTAAATGGGTGAGGGGAGAAGTGGGAAAGGCGGAGGAGAGAGGCGATATCTGAAGGGGAGGAAGGGAGGAAGACGGCAGAAGGATGGGAGTGAACAATGCCGCCAAAGTCGGAGGATGCGGCGGAGAGGGAGAGGGAGTCGAAACGAAGATGGGTGGAGATGGGGTGGGTGAGGAGAGTGGTAGGGAGGGAGTTGGGGGATTGGATGAGGATGGACATGAGAGTGGTGGTTAGGAGGAGAGTGGTGGGTTTGAGAAAGGATGGCATGACATGGAGATTCATGGGGGAGGGAGATAGAGTAGCAAGAAGGTTTGGTGTAAGAAAATGATGAATTGGGGTCCTATTTATAAAAAGAGAGATAGAATTAAATATAAGATATAAATTATATTGAAATATTTTGATATATTTTATATTGAGATGAAAAAGATAAAATATTTAGAGTTATAAGATAAATCCTAAAACTTAAAAGTTATTTGAATATTTTGTTAAGATAAAACTAATTTATGATGTTTTTCATTTTTCTTTAAAAATTTCTTAATTTTTACTGTTCATAATAAAATTTTAAATATTTTATTTTATTATTTTAACATAAATCTGATTTGAATATTCTAATATTAATATTTTCTAAAGAAAGGGGAGGAGAGATTGCTGATAGTACTGTGGATGAGAATGGGACAAAGGAATTTCATTAATGACTAGTTGCAGTATTTATTATATGCTTATGGGTTTTGTTCTGGCAGAGGTTTGAGCTCGGAAAAGGACCAAAGCTACAGAGTGTTTTTCATTTTTTAAGTATTTCTAAAAAGAGCTGTGGTATCTTACTAAAGGTGGATAAAAAAAACTTTGATATAAAAATAAAAAAGAATATAATAAAATGTTTAATTTGGGGCCACTTAAGTGAGGAAAGATCCAACCATCCAATCTAACAAAATCTGTGAGGTGTACCATGCTGGATTTTTCACACTTCACTTTTTTATGAAATGAGTTATTTTAATCATTTTGTATTATGTCAATCATTTTTTAAGCAAAATAGCTATTAATATATTACTGCATGGTGAAACATATGTGGGAATGGATGGAATTTATCGTCTTAGTATTATATGAATATTCTGCACACTCAAATAAAATAAGAGTAAAGATTGTAACTCATTGAATATTAGTGAGTTATCGATCCTTTTAAGGACTTGTAATTTAATTTGATATATTAATGCGTAGGTCCTTCATAGGACTTTAACCACAAAAAAGAAGGAGATAAGAGTCGAGAGCAGCTTGTAAAAGAGGGAATAATTTTTACATGAAAATCTTGAAAGGAGAAGAACCACATGACTTAATCTGATTGAAATGATTCTACTAGAAAATGAAATCTCGCTCATTCTTAGATGCCCTTTTAGGAGTTTTTTCCTTTGTGGCTTTTCACGACCTTAAATCCACTTTCCATCATGATTTTTCTTCCTTGTGGATTTTGCAGGAGGAGAACCTTGCTTTGGCGGCCCAATTTGAATTTGCTTTGATCGAAAAAATTTCCTGCTCGCAGACCTCTGCTCGATTCTATACATAATTTTTTTATTTAAATTGAAACACAACGGCGTATGTTCAGTGACTCTTTTGAATCCAAAATATGTTATGATTAAAATGGTTAACGACTTAGATTATAATAGAGTTTTTGCACATCATTTTTATTTAGTCAATAATTGCTATATGAAATTAGTTATGTTGTATCCATTCTTTGATATTGTTGTGGAATCCCCATTACCCTGATCTGGGTTTCTTTCCTTAACCTCCGACCCTATCTGTTCTCTTCACGTATTCTTCACGGTTTGAGTTCATTGCTTGTTGTCCTTTAAAAACTTATAATACTACTTCTGTTGGGTCGAGGCCCTTTGTTGCTTGTGAGCTGGTTGAGCTTGATATCACCAAACACTACATTGATCGAGTGTGGCTTGGTCAAAAAAAAATTGGGTATGTCCAACTTGTTAAGATGGAGATGTTCCCTTCATTGTTGGTTAATTGCGAGTCCCTAGGCCATTCGAATGTGGAGTGTCGTATTCTTCACTCGCACCTTGATGTCATTCCTGTGAACATCCACAACCCCCTACTTTTTGATAACATGGGTACTAAGGAGTTAAATCCGACTAGTTGTGTTGATGTCGTGCAGGAGGGTGTGAAAAATTTACACAATGCAATGGTGAATATTAATGTTTGTGATGGTGCATGTTCTTTGATGTTCATGATATAGTGATTGTCAATGGTATGAATGATAATCCTGAGGTTGTTCATGCACCAAATAGTTTAAATAAGCAAGTAGTTATTTCTACTAAATTGATTATTGTCAAGAACTAAATCGATGTACATACACCTTCTAGTGATGCTAGTTTGGAGGCTCAGGGGAATTCTTTTCCTCAAGGCCTTGTGAATACTGCTATGACTCTTATGGATGGCGTGGATGTCTCAAATCTATTTCCCCTATCTCTGAAGAAGTTGATTTGGATGGTGGGAAACCTCATTTGGAATTACAATTTGGTCATCCGATTGATCACTCGGGCTGGATTTGCTCTCAGTCAACTAATATTTGTATTTTTTTTGGGTCTGATGTTTATTCCACTTTGTGTTTGATGGAGGAGAACGATTTAAGTGTCGTACAGGTGGAGGGCATATCCTTTTGTTTGAGAAGGAAAAAATAAAATAAAAATAAAAACAATATTATTCACAACTTCAATTATTCGTTGGAAGCCCTTCTCATTCTAAAGCTCGGGTTAAAATTTAGATATGTTTACTGGGTTTTTTTTTTTTTTTTGGGTTGGGCCTTTGGCTTTGTTAGGTAATATTTTTGGTTGAGTCCGTTTTCTGCTTTCCCTTGGTGCTTCTTATATTGTTATGGTTGGTTGGATGTTATTTGGTTCCAGGACTGACTCGGGGTATTGTTATTTTGCTTGTGGGTTGGTTTCTTTGGTTGTAATTGTCCCTGGCCTTATCTTAGATTTTCTATTCCTTTTTCTTTTGGCTTTTGGTGGGGTCTGCTCCTTGTTTTGTAGGTGCAAGTTCTCTGCAGGATTGTGGATGGTTGATCAATCATTTCGTCTAGTGTAGATCTTTTTTTATTAAGATCAGTTTGTGGCTTTTGTTTGTACTTTTTGTTGGTTGGATTCAGGTTTCTTTCTCTCTACCAGCCCTGGTCTTAGGTTGGATATTGTTCTGCTGTTAATGGGGGCTTTCCTACTCTTCTTTTGTTAGATTTTTCCTGTTGTTTAATGTAACTTGAAAGGATCACTAGCTATAAGATTTTCTTTTTGAATGTATTTATTTTTTGTTTTAGAGAGTTGTTGATCTTTTAAGGACCTTGTATCTCTTTTATAAATTAACATGTAGGCCCCTTTATGAGTTTTATAAAAAAAGTTATAAGTTACAAATAATATTTTTCCCTACAATTTCAAAAGAAGTTAATACAAGATAGCATACATAAATTGTGAATGAGCCTTCGATGTATAAGTATCCTTAAATAAATTTTTAGTGTTCTATTTGATTTTTCTCTTTGAAAGAGGAGAGTCCAAATATCATGAAGTTAACCATAACCTTGGTACCAGCATTAGGTATCATTATTGGTGGCGTTGAGAAGTGATATCTAAGTTGGTGACAACCGATGTCATGGTTGATGTTGACAATGGGCATATGCCATGTTAAAAATGATATGAGTTGATGTCATTAATTATGATGAGCAGTGGCATTATTATCGACCACATGTATCAACTTCATTGGCAATAATGTTCATTGATGTTGTTGATGAAGACTGGCAACAAATTTGGTGGACATAGACATTACTATCGACAAATATATGAGTCTTATTGATGATGACATGTGTTACCATTTTTTTATGATGGCGAGTGTTGGCATTGACGTCAATGTTATGTATGAGCCTTATTGGAAAAAACATGTGTCGATGTTGTTGCAATGGTGGGCAACAAAGTTGGCAGACATTAGCATTAGTGTCTACGATGCATCATTCTTATTAGCAATGACATGTTTCAATGTTTTGGCTATAATGGATGAAGAAGTTGATGGACATGCATGTCTATATTTGTATTGATGATGTGCAAAGACTATTTAACAATCATGTGCATTGATGTTATCGGTCACAACTAGCAAAAAAGTCGGCGATAATTGGTATTGAATATAAGACTTTGACATTGGTGTCGATATCGTGCATTAGTCTTATTAACAATGGCATGCATCGACGTTGTTGTTGATTATGGATGATAAAATCAATAAACATTACTATTAGTGTTGTGTGTTGATAACATACATCTATCTTATTAGCAATGATGTGCTTCAATGTTATTGGTGAGGGTTGGCAATAAGATGACAAATGTCAGTATTGCCGTCGACAAAGTGGGTCGGCTTTATTGGTTATGTCTACGTCCATGTTATTGGTGACAATAGGATAAAAAGTCATTAGACATTGGTATTGGCATCAACAACGTCATCCATTGGCTTTATTGGTGATAGTATATATCGATATTATTGTGTAAAAGCTCACTTCATTTCATATCACTTCACATATTTCTACAATCAAGTATCATTCTTTAGCATTTAAAAATTTTAATAACATCAAAATTTTGTGATCTTAAGCTTATTGTATTCCTCTCATTGTGATGCTAGTTTTTATCGCAAGCACACAAAATTTAAAGATCATTCGATCCGACAAATGGTATAATGAAGTTTTATTACACATTAAGTACTTGAGTTAGACTCATTTCGACTTAATTTGAACACATAATAACACTTTTAATTTGGTGTTATTGGACTTGTCTCATTAGAACATTTATTTTAACTATCGCTTTACATAAATTAGAGTTTGGATGGTTTTGAATTTAACTACATAAATTTCTACTTTAAATATTTCATTGGGATTTGTGGTTAATTAGATGAATTTTCTAGTGACACATCATTTGCACCATTATTTATGAATATTAAACCCTAAAGTTGTTTGTGATATTTGGAAACATAAATGATGCATTTTTTTTACTTTATATTTTTCCTTTTAATTCGTTTAAATTTTAAATTAAATTTCAAAATTTTATAACCATTCCAAAAATTTTAAATTTTGTAAGAAAAAAAATTGTCACTCCGCATCCTCCTTTTAACCTATAAATGCTTGCATTTGTTTTGAGGGAAAAATCACACCTTAGAATTCTCACCATTGTATTCTTGGACACTATTTTTGGTAAGAGACCCTTAGTTTTCCCTTTGTAAAGTACAATTATCCTTCGTAAGGAGGTATGAAACTATATTTGCATAT